GATTTAAAAATGGCGGCTCCCGGCTTATGCAAATGAAGCCCGGGAAATTCAAATCCCGGGCTTCATTTGCAAGTGCGGTATGCCTACATTACCCTCCTATTTCGAAATAGGAGGGTAGTGTAGACATACCCTGAGCTAGTATGCCCACACTGTGGGGAGCCTCAAAATTAGTCTGAGGCAGGCTCTGTTAATATGGGCGTGCTATCTCAGACTTTGAACCCCAGGAAGCACTGAGGAGTATTAGTTCGAATTACTCTGGGGGGTAATTATATCGAAATAGCAGCACCAGAGCATCCACACTACCATTATTTTGAAATAACTATTTTGGAATTAGCATTACTTCTGATGAAAAGCAGGAGTACAGATTTCGAATTCCGCCACCTGATATTTCAAAATAACAGTAGTTATGAACGCTCTGCTTAGAAATTTGAACTTTGTGGGGGGTTATTTTGAAATAAAGTCCTAGTATAGTCCAGGGCTTAGCAGCCTAAAATCTACCAGACTGGTTTCAGTGGCTTCCAGGAAATGGAGCTCAATTCCAGGACTCTCCCGGTAAAACTGGGAGGATTGGCAACCCTTTTAATGATATGGCATTGGCAAGAACAATACTAGAATACTGCATACCGTTCTGGTGTCCACGTTTTTTAAAAGGTTGTTGACAACTGGGAAGGATGAAGATAAAGTCACAAAAATTATTTAATAGCTGAAAAGAATGCCTTATAGTCAGAAACTTAAGGAGCCCAAACTTTTTGGCTTCACAGGGAGAAAAGCCTAGGAGTTAAGGGCTTTTTAACCAGCACAGAAATGCAGAAAAAGAACTAGTGTCTGGACACTGAAGACAGAAAAATGTAAATGAGAAACAAATTAATGGTGAGGGTGATTAACCATTGGATTAAACTACCCAGGGTTTCTCCACTTCTTGATTAGCAATAGAGAGGTAGCCATGTTAGTCTGATCTTGCTAAAACAAAAAGAAAAACTATGTGGCACTTTAAAGACTAACAAGATGGTTTAATAGGTGATGAGCTTTCGTGGGCCAGACCCACTTCCTCAGATCATATTCTGAAAGAGAATTGGCATGACCGTATATACCAAAGGAATACAATAATATGTTCACTTTTTTCATTGTATTCCTTTGGTATATATGGTCATGCCAATTCTCTTTCAGAATATGATCTGAGGAAGTGGGTCTGGCCCACGAAAGCTCATCACCTATTAAACCATCTTGTTTCTTTTGTTCCACCTCTTGATGTTTTCTCATCAAAACTGGACACCTTTCTCCAAGAGATGCTTAGGCTAACACAAACTATTTGGCTCAACACAGACATAACTGGGTAAAATATAAAGGCCTGTGATCAGAGCTGTCCTATCCATTGGATAGCTCGGGCCAACCGCCCTAGGCCCCTGCTTTTGGGGGCCCCACAGGGCCCAGGGCAGTTCAGAGGATTAGCGGGGGCCTGGCACCAGCAGTAAGAATTGGGCCCACCCCACACTTGCTGGTGGCAGCAGGAAGCAGTGTGACCATGCTCAGCCATGTCATCCAGGTGAAGCGGCTTGGGGGCAGCGGTAACCACCCCACCCCCACACTCACCAGTGGCAGGAAGCAGAGTGGCATGGCTGCACAGGGCCCAGGGCAGTTCAGAGGATTAGCGGGGGCCTGGCACCAGCAGTAAGAATTGGGCCCACCCCACACTTGCTGGTGGCAGCAGGAAGCAGTGTGACCATGCTCAGCCATGTCATCCAGGTGAAGCGGCTTGGGGGCAGCGGTAACCACCCCACCCCCACACTCACCAGTGGCAGGAAGCAGAGTGGCATGGCTGGGTAAGTGAGTGCAGGAATGGGCTGGATCCCTGCTGCTGGTGCCAGGCCCCCACTAACCCCTGGGCCACATGGTCTGGGGGAGAGGGTGGAATGGAGTGGGGCGGGGGTAGAGTAGAGGCAGGAAAAGGAGCGGGGGTCAGAGCTCAGGTCAGGACTTTGGGGAAGGGTTGGAGTGGTGGCAGGGTGGAGGAGGAGCAGGGGTGGAAAGAGGCAGGGTGGGACCTGGAGCAGAGCGGAGGGTGTCTCAGGTCCCGCACCCCAATAGGGCTGGTCCTGCCTTTGACATACAGGTCAGACTAGATGGGCTAATGATCATTTTTGTCAAACTCTGAAACTATGAATGAACTATCTGCCACTGTACTGGGAGCCCATTTGCATCAGTGCATTCAGTTCTGGCTCCTTAATGAGGAGGAATGGGATGAACACACACAGGGGATGTTTACAAAACATTCCCTATCAGGGTTCTGGATCTGGCTGGGACTCATCTGGTCAGGAGAAATGCTGGGGGCCCCATCCCATGGGACATTCAAAGGTGGATTGGACAAAGCTCTACTAACTGTTCATTAGGAACAATCCTGCTGTAGCTCTGGGGAGAGGGAGGGTGGGACTGCATAGGCCTATTCAATGTCTAACTCCTGTAAATCGCTGTGTCTCCTGCTTTCTCCATGCTGGGGATCGGTCAGGACAGACCCGCAGCTCCACTGCTGGGACAGGGACCTATCTACACAGCACAGATGAAGCCAGCAGCTTTTTACCTTATCCATTCGGTCCTTCTCTTTTCCAAATTTGCCCCCGTAACCATAAGAGGCCTTGGGCCCAGATGCCAGTTCTTTCTGTTTGATGACTTCATGTTCCTCAGACACCTTGCTCCGGAGCTGGTGGATGCTGGAAAGAAATGCAGAGTCAGGGCAAACCACTATCAAACCCCTCAGACGTGCTCCAGCCCAGTAGACATTACACTCCATTACAGACTGGAGCATGCTGCAGTGCAGACAGTGCCCTGATCAGTGGAACATGGAGGTTTTGTTATTAACAGGATACCAGCCAAACAGGGCATGTGAGAAGTTAGGTTGGAATCCAATTGTTCAGCACAATCTGCAACCCGCCTCCCACAGCCCAGGCCTATGGCATTGCCTCTTCAGACCAATTAGCACACTTCACAACCAGCAGCTCGCTGTGGGCCCAAGGCCCAGGTACTCCGCAGACCTGAACTCTGCAGCCTCATCACAGGAACCTGATGAAATATGACTCTAGTGATATGGATGCAAAAATGAACACAGTCCATTTGGCATGGTGCCCCCTCCTTTTGTGCATTGTTACACTTCCCCTACATATTCCATTTTCTACCGGTGGCAGAGTTTTTTGCACTGGCAGCACTGAAGAGGTCATTAGGAAAGTAGCGGTTGATATAGACAGTTATGAGGGAAGAGGGAGCTGGCACCAGGAAGGAGCTGGAGACATTTTGGGATACTGAGGTAAGCACATTCACTAGTAACTCTATTGCCATTGTCAGATGCAGGGAAGCAGTTTTAGTTCATAGAAATAGCAAGGGCTGGGGGGAAAGCAAGTAGCTGATACTCTACTCAACAAACTTTTGTTTATCGGGTAGTTGAATACCCCCTAACATCCCTAGTTCAGGGCTTCTCATAAGCCTGATTTATTTTTCTGGAGTTCTGAAGTTAGTGGATTTTATGGACCCCTTTACGCTCTGGCGTGGGGAGAAAAAAAGGGGTTCAGTGTGCGGGCCAGGGCTTCCAATGTGTGGAATAGGGATGGGATGCAGGATATGGGTAGGAGTTGGGGTGCAGAAAGGGGAGAGGTTGTGAAGTCTGGGTGGGAGATAGGGTGCAGACACAGGCTGGGGGTTATGTCTCTGGCCAGAAGGGAGGGGTGTAGGGTAGGGAGTTTGGCAAGGAAGGAGGGGGCAGGAGAAGTCTAGGGGTAGGGTTTCTGACCAGGAGGGAGAGTGCAGGAGCAAGGACAGAGCCGGCCCTATCATGAGGCAAACTGAGGAGGCACCTCAGGTGCCAGACTGTGGGGGGAAAGGGTGCACCACTAGAACCCAGAGTGTAGAAAATTGTGTCTGCTGCTGGTGCATATGTAGGTAGCAGAGCAGCGCCATGAGAGGAGTAGAACAGGAAGGAGGCAGAATTGAGACCTTTCAAAGTTTTGGCCCAAGTGACAGGGCATGGGGGTGTCATCTGAGCTTCCCACATCAGGTGCCAAAAAGTTGTGGGCCGGCCCTGAGCAAGGGTATGTCTAGACTACAGGCTTTTGTCGACAGAAGTTTTGTCGACAGATAGGGTACGTCTATACTACATGGCTCCGTCGACGGCGCCATGAAGATTTGTTTTCTTGGCAAAGGCAAATGAAGCCGAGATTTAAATGATCGCGGCTTCATTTACATTTACATGGCTGCCGCGCTGAGCCGACAAACAGCTGATCAGCTGTTTGTCAGCTCGCGCGCTAGTCTGGACGTTTCCCCTGTCGACATCAAAGCCCTTTGTCGGCAGCCCCGGTAAACCTCATTCCACGAGGAATAACTGGGCTGCCGACAAAGGGCTTTGATGTTGACAGGGGGAACGTCCAGACTAGCATGCGAGCCGACAAACAGCTGATCAGCTATTTGTCGGCTCAGCGCAGCAGCCATGTAAATGTAAATGAAGCACGATCATTTAAATCGCGGCTTCATTTGCCTTTGCCTATGTGTCTAATCTACATGCCTCTGCCGACAGAGGCATGTAGTCTAGACACAGCCTTAGAAGCCGCAATCATTTAAATTGCGGCTTCATTTGCCTTTGCCTATGTGTCTAATCTACATGTCTCTGCCGACAAAGGCATGTAGTCTAGATACAGCCATACTGTCGACAAAGCTTCTGTCGACAAAGAGCGTCTAGACTACATTCAGTTCTGTCGACAAAGCAAGCTGCTTTGTCGACAAAACCCTGTAGTCTAGACACAACCCTAGATGCAATAACACCTTCTGTCAACAGAACTCTGTCAACAAAAGGCGTTATGTCTCGTAAAATGAGGTTTACCAGAGTCGACAAAACTGCTGAGTTCTGTCGATGTTATGTCGACAGAACTCAGCGGTACTGTAGACGCAGGTATAGTTTTGTCGACAAAAGTCCACTTTTGTCGACAAAACGCTGTAGTCTAGACACACCCGAAGGGAGGATGACAGAGCAAGCTGGAGGTGCAGGGTCTTGGTGTAGGGAGGTGAGTGAGTGTGGGGGATTTGGGAGGTGAGTCTAGAAATGAAGGGGAGACACTTATCTA